TAATTATAGTAAATAAATAAAATATAAAGATAAGAAGCCCAACCATCCGTTTTTACGGTACTGCTTAGGCATCACCAGTAAAATTTGGTTTATAACCATTCAACAATTTCGAAACTATACCATAATATAACATGGACACAGATTAAAATGAATTCTGTAAAAAAAACCAAACTTAATGTTTACAATTCCTAATTAAGGCAATTCAAATGATCAGCAAAAATTTGAACATCATTTGTTGATTTATAAAGGGGAGACAGGATTTGAAATTCCTCATAATGCAAAGGAAGCTGTTTTTGTTTACATCTAGAAAATATCAATAACAAAACTACGAGTAGACTACACAAATCATTAACAACTGTCTGTAGTATTTAGAATTTAACTTCTCTATAGAAAATATCACCTTTGAACGAACATATATAAATATATATAATCTGAGTTAAAAAAAAAAAAGCATGGCAGGGGCCTTTTTTACGTAACAAATGTTTGGAGCTCTAAATCTGTTTCTTTATCTCCTGAAATTCTTCTCTTTTTTTGATAATCGTTTAACAGTATCTTAGTTAAGCATTTGTTAACAAAAAATGGAAAAATAAATTTCATTTTTAAAGCTGAAACCGTATCCATGTCCCAATAAAAACAATAACAAAATACATCAAAACGTTTGAATGTTTGGCGAGTCAAAAATATTCATATAATTTTATCGGGATTTTTCTTTAAGTTAAAGCATAAAGTGCTTGGAAGAATATATACCAACTTCATCAAAGCAGGGGAACATTATTGAAGGAATTGGGTTGAAATCCAAAATAAAACATATTGCTCTTCATAGCATATTGGAAATGTACTGTAGGAGAAGGTATATCATACCCAGCAGTATTTGTATGCAGAAAAGTTCATCAGTCACATTTAAGATGTTGGCTTTCACTCCATTTTTAGCAGGTGGACTGTGATATTGTGGAAAACTAAAATTAAATGAAATGAATAAAGTACACTGCTAAGCAAATGATACACCCAGGCATTAATTTATTTGTCATAAACCAAACAAGAGGCCCATTGGCCACATCGTTCACCTGAGAATCTTTTGTCATATTGTTCATTACCAGATTTCCCCCTTGTAATACATATTGTGGCCCCGCCCTACCCCCTGGGGTCATGATTTACTACCCCAGGGTGCTTCCACATCAGTTTCAGCTTTTCTGGCCAAGTGGTTTTTGAGAAGAAGATTTTCAAAGATTTTTCCTAAATATTTCTATGTAAAACATTCATGCCCCATTGTGGCCCCGCCATACCCTCGGGGGTCATGATATGAACAATTTAGAATCTACACTACCCCAGGATACTTCCACATAAGTTTCAGCCTTATTTACCCAGTGGTTCTTGAAAAAAAGATTTTCAAAGATTTTTCCTATATATTTCTATGTAAAACTTTGATTCACCATTGTGGCCCCGCCCAACCCCCGAGGGTCATGATTTGAACAATTTAGAATCTACACTACCCCAGGATGCTTCCACATGAGTTTCAGCTTTTCTTGCCCAGTGGTTCTTGAGAAGAAGATTTTTAAAGATATTTCCTATATATTTCAATGTAAAACTTGGGTTCCCTATTGTGGCCACGCCCTACCCTCGGGGGTCATGATTTGAACAATTTAGAATCTACAGTACCCCAGGATGCTTCCACATCAGTTTCAGCTTTTCTGGCCCAGTTGTTCTTGAGAAGATGTTCAAAAATTTTTCCTATATATTTCTTTGTAAAACATTGATGCCCCATTGTGGCCCCGCCCTACCCCCGAGGGTCAAGATTTGATCAATTTAGAATCTACACTACCCAAGGGTGCTTCCACATCAGTTTCAGCTTTTCTGGCCCAGTGGTTCTTGAGAAGAAGATTTTTAAAGATTTTTCATATATATTTCTATGTAAAACTTTGAATCCCCATTGTGGCCCCGTCCAACCCCCGGGGGTCATGATTTTAACAATTTAGCATCTACACTATCCCAGGGTGCCTCCACATAAGTTTCAGCCTTATTGGCCCAGTGGTTCTTGAGAAGATTTTTTAATGACCCATCCCTATTTTTGTCTTTTCTTGATTATCTCCCCTTATGAGGGGACTTGGCCCTTCATTTTAACAATTTAAATCCCCCTTCACCCAAGGATGCTTTGTACCAAGTTTGGTCAAAATTGGCCTAGTGGTTCTTGAGAAGAAGTCGAAAATGTGAAAAGTTTACAGATGGACGGACAGCTGGACAGCTAGACAGACGGATAGACGGACGAGAGACAAAATGTGATCAGAAAAGCTCACTTGAGCCTTTGGCTCAGGTGAGCTAAAAATAGGAATTGAATCGTGTCAATGTTGCAATTGATCCAAAAATTTCTTTTCTTTCCATCTCCAATGTTTGGTTGATTGATTGGTTGTATATTGTTTTAGATCGCATTCAAGAATATCTGTATCATACAGAAACGTCACCATATATTGGTTAAGGGTTTCAAATTCTGATATTCACTTGGCACTTATGGCCATTAACATTGAGGGATCTAAACCATTTTTAGCTCACCTGAGCCTTCACCTGAGCCGAAGGCTCAAGTGAGCTTTTCTGATCAAAATTTGTCCATTGTCTGTCGTTGTTGTTGTCGTTAACTTTTCACATTTTCAACTCTTCCCAAGAACCACTTGGCCAATTTCAACCAAACTTAATACAAAGTATCCTTAGGTAAAGTTTGTTCAAATGAAGGACCACGCCTTTATTCAAGGGGGGGGGGGATAATTCAGAAATAGTGAAAATTAGATGCTATGTTTTAAAAATCTTCTTCTCAAGAACCACTATGCCAGAAAAGATGAAACATTTAGGGAAGCATTCTCGGGTCGTGTAAATTAAAGTTTGTTGAAATCATGACCCCCATGGGTAGGGCGGGGCCACAAAAGCTGATCAAAGTTTCACATAGAAAAATTCAGGAAAATTCTTTAAAACTCTCTTTCTTCTCTGGAATAGCAAAGGCATGAATGATAATCAGGTAGTTGACATTCAAGTTTGCTCAAATTATTATCCGTGGGGGTAGGGCGGGGCCACAGCATGGAATCCAAGTTTTACACAGAAATATGTAGAAAAAAATCTTCTTTTCAAGAATAGCAAACCATGATTAGTCCTATTCATAGTGTAGATTCAATTTTGTTCAAGTCATCCCCTTGGGTAAGGCTGGGTCACAATTTAAAATCAAATGTAAACGGCAAAAAAGCCACAGGTAGTCAAAGAAATATGCAAGCATTCTTAGTTAGTGTAAATTCAAGTTTATTCAAATCATACCCTCTCTCTTTTAAGGATTGGTTAGGACCACTTTTGGATTTTAAAGTCATATATGGCGTATTTTTCATAAGTTCAGACAAACTAAGATTTAAAAGATCTTTTTATTTGTTTTGTTATTTTATATAAAGATAGGACTTTCCTGTAAATTACACAATTTAAATCAATCGCGTTTCATAGATATCACAGATTTAAAGCAGTAAACGATTTATTTCCGACTCGGATAAAAATATCAGACACAGTTTAAAGTCAATTTAACTCTAGACTTGTGGTGATTTATAAGTTCAAAATCGGTGAAAATTTTAATTCGTACGTAAGTAACAAATATTTGGTAAATCTACAATTAATCTTGTATTTTTATTTTTTTGACTCAGATACGCCATATATGGCTTTAAAAGTATACACGCTAAAACCTGCGCCAGTTAAAATACGATTGGAAATTTATATAATTTGTTTATCAATAAAAGTTAGGAAAATACTGTAAATTACACCATTAAAATTAAACGCGTTACAAAGTTATAAAATTATGATTTTTTATTATCCTGCAAGGAAAGAAAAATAGCTATTTTTAAATAAACCCATCACGTGACGCCGTCGCTACATTTAGATTGATAAACACACATGACGTAAAGAAAACAAGGCATGCCGTTTGAGATACTACTCACTTTTGATGTGGATGGCAAGCGTCTAACTTAATGGTACTTATCTTTTAATGTATTCAGTATCAACCATCTTCTCTGTTATGACGCATATCAACCTTATATATTTATAATTGTTGTCAAAATGCAACATACCTCGTTGTCTGTGATTTCCCGTGGACATGTGTTTCTATATATAGGCCTACTGTTTACGCACTTCCTTCATCAATATTAAGAATGAGTTCTTAATTCCTAGATATTGTTTAATTGTTTTGTTATTACAACGACCTCTACAGTACAATTTTGTGGAAAGTATTATTTTTTATTAAACTTCATGTGTTTTAAATCATTATTCATTTTGTTTCACACAAAATTTGGCGTTCATATAGCGTATATGACTTTAACTTTTCAATAATAAACTAATTTATGCCTTTTTCCTAGCTATATTGCTCAGGTGCCCATGGGCCTCTTGTTATGTCTGCCGTAACACAGGGCTTTGGTTTTTAAGGTCTCGTGCAAAGGACTAGCAACTTTTAATCCAGAGTGCCGGGCGCATGGCAAAGAAACATTTGCTACCAATTTTTTATTGACTAAGGTCACTTGCAGCTCAGAATTGAATTCACGACCTTCTAACCTTTATATATATGTATCTTCTATGACTAATAGAAGATAACAAATGAGTAGTATTATACAATAGTACTTCATTAATTTCTAGCTCACCTGAAGGCTCAAGTGAGCTTTTCTGATCACATTTTGTCCGTCGTCCGTCCGTCCGTCTACCTGTCTGTCTGTCCGTCTGTAAACTTTTCACATTTTCGACTTCTCAAGAACCACTGAGCCAATTTTGACCAAACTTGGTACAAAACATCCTTGGGTTAAGGGAAATTTAATTTTTTTTTAAATAAAGGGCCAAGTCCCCTCACAAGGGGGGATAATCAAGAAAAGACAAAAATAGGGTGGGGTCATTCAAAGATCTTCTTCTAAAGAACCACTGGACCAGAAAAGCTGAAACTTATATGGAAGCATCCTGGGATAGTGTAGATTCTAAATTGTTCATATCATAACCCCTGGGGGAAGGGCGGGGCTACAATGGGGAATCAAAGTTTTACATAGAAATATTTAGGAAAAATCTTTGAAAATCTTCTTCTCAAGAACCACTGGGCCAGAAAAGCTGAAACTTATGTGGAAGCATCCTGGGGTACTGTAGATTCTAAATTGTTCAAATCTTGACCCCCGGGGGAAGGGTGGGGCCACAATGGGGAAACAAATTTTTTCATAAATTTTATTTCATTATAAATGGTTTATTAATACCAAAAATCACATTTCAAAGCATTAATTTATTTTCAGACTATGCTACCCCTACCCCCACAACCAGTACCCTGACCCAGGGGCCCTGAAATTACCGTAAATATTTTGGAAGAGGCACCTTTTATCATCATTAATATGTACTTAGAACATTGGCATAATACCCAGGAGCAAAGGAAAAGGTGTTCGAAAAATTCATGCATTTTTTACTACGGTATATGTTCATTAGAGCCCTGCCTAACATCAAAATCCTGACCTTGGGGCTCTGAAATTCCCAAATCTGGAAGAGGCATCCTTTTTCATCATAACTAGTATGTACATAGTTCATTGGTTTAATACTCAGGAGCAGAGAAGAAGATTTTAAAAGAATTGATGTATTTTCACTATATCATGCTATATAATCAATAAAACCCCACCCTAACCAAAGAACCCATGACCCTGAGACCATAAAATTCACAATTTTGGAAAAGGCACTATTATGCAACATAAATATGTACTTGGTTAGTTTGTTTAATATTCAGGAGCAGAGAAGAAGACTTTCAAAGAATTCATGCATTTTCACTGAATAATTAATAGAGCCCCACCCTAACACCAGTACCCACTGACCCTGGGACCATGAAATTCACAATTTTGGAAGAGGCAGCCTAATTCAACATAACTATGCACTTATTTAGTTTATTTTATGTCAAAGAGCAGAGAAGAAGATTTTCAAAGATTTTCAAAGA